AAAAAAAAAAAAAAAAAAAAAAGAATTGAATAGAATACTCCGAAGAAATTGGAAGGATAACTTGGGAGCCCTCTTCAAATATAAAATTAAGAAGTAAAAAAAAGAATGTTCAAATGCTTACTACAGAAAATAAAAATTTTTAAAAAATAGCAAAAAAGAATGTTAAGCCTCTTGATATAGATTTAATAATATCTTAAGCTAATGGCAATAAAATATGAATAAATAGTAAATGAATATGATAAGGAAATTTGTGCTACTAATTGCCCATTTATAGAAGTAACAACTCTAATATTTACTATGCAACTATAATTGAATCACAGGGTTAATTACATCTGTTTACTGGTTATTGTTTCTTAGGATTTTTTTCTGGCATTATACAGCTGTAAATTATACCTTTGTTTTTTGTGTTATGGATTAGGAGTTAAACAAAAGACAGACTCAAAAGGACTTAGAGCATGCCATGCTACTTCGACAGCATGAATCCATGCAAGAACTGGAGTTCCGCCACCTCAACACAATTCAGAAGATGCGCTGTGAGTTGATCAGATTGCAGCATCAAACTGAGCTCACTAACCAGCTAGAATATAATAAGCGAAGAGAACGAGAACTAAGACGAAAGCATGTCATGGAAGTTCGACAACAGCCTAAGAGTTTGAAGGTATGATTAGCTTAAGCTTTGTGACAATAGGGAAGAGAATGATAAGGTATCCATGTAAGCAGGAAAATTCTTAAGACAAATGTCTAGTCATAAAGATATTGAGTAAGTTTCTTTTAATTTTTAGCATCTTTAGTTGATTTTAATGTTGAGTGCCGGTTGCTACAGTCATTTGCTTCTGTATTTCACATCAGAATACAAAAAAAGTGGCCTAATTTTTAACCATGGGAAATGCTAGTAAATAAGAATCAAGATTCTTGTTTTAAATTTACCAAAGAGCAGGGCACGGCCCGGTGGCTCACACCTGTAACCTCAGCACTTTTGGAGGCCAACAAAAGCCGATCATCTGAGGTCAGGAATTCGAGACCAGCCTGGCCAACATGGAGAAACCCTGTCTCTACTAAAAATACAAAAACTAGTTTGGTGCGGCGTTGCATGCCTATAGTCCCAGCTACTTCAGGGACTGAGGCAGGAGACTCACTTGAACCCAAGAGGGTGGAGGTTGCAGTGAGCCAAGATCATACCGCAGCACTCCAGCCTGCAGCAAAGCAAGACCCTGTCTCAAAAGAAAAAAAAAAAAAAATTTTTTTATTCACATCGCCAAAGCCACTATTATATTCTACATGTCAACAAGCTAACCATTTAGCTTCTCTCTGTTGTTCCAAGTAATAAAATTTTGGAACTTTAATTTGCTGTAAATATGACTTGTACAAATTTAAAGTGCATTATAAAGTAAAAAGTTTCTAGCTATGTAGCTACCAGTTAGAAAGAAAGAAAAGTTTTCTTCTCTGTGCTTGTTCCTCCAGCCACCTGGTCCATCTCCCTCCATCAAAGTCAACTACAGTTAACAATTCTGAAATTTTGAATCTTATAACTTGTAATAAATATTTGAAGGAGTAAAATCACATGAATCTTAATATATAAAACCACCTACTGTAGTCTGTCATCGATGATAAGCACCTCAATTATTCTGTACATATCTGTACCTTTTAAACTTTTATTTATATCCAATAAGGCCCAGTTTTCACTATATTTCCTATTTAAAGTTTCCCCTGTACCCCTATCCAGCCCTTATAAAAAGGGCTTTTTATAAGCTATTTGATGTTTAAACTATAAAATGGTTCTTGGTTTTACTCTGAATAACCGTGCTGGAGTAAAGTGAAATTCATTCACAGAGGCAATCTGTGTCAAAATCTAGAAGCTACAACACGTTCAATGGTATTCTCAGTGCCCACCCAACTCCATTCAAACAAGCTTTCCTGAACAAAATATAGAAACAATGTTAAAATGCTTTATTTTTTTCATGTGAATGTGCATAAAATTTCACCTTGCTGTGTCTTCAAAATAGGTAATTATTTACAGAGTAATTATGTTGACTACTAACATAACCTTCCTTAGTTAATGCTTAGAAAAATTGGAATTATAATGATTTTTTTAGATTTGTTTTTGTAGTGGGGAGGTATATAATCATTTAGCTACAGAATAGACAATCTCCTATGAAAAGATTTTTAAAACAGTATGACAGCAAAATCAGTCATGGTTTTAAAGCGAACAGCGCCAAGGAATAAACCAAACTGAAAGTCGTACCATAAATCTGATATGACTGCATTTCTCTGGGGCTTGGTTGATAGATAGTTGTTTGACATTTAACCGTTTCTTTCCGTTTCCTATCATTAGAGCCTTTTCCATTTTAAAGCTTATAAACAGTAGTCTTGATTCTCTCAGTACATTAAAAGTGAAGAGAAAATGAAGCTTCACTAACATAGCGAGACTTTAAATAAAATGCCTTTCTGATGACAAGTGAGCTAAAAGTTTTCTGTTAGGAAAGAAAAATCACCACTTTACTCTTATTTTACATGGATCTGTTTACTTAGCTTGAACATTTTAACACCAAGTTATCACATTTCTATTTACTTAAGTAGTTGTTGCCTCTTCCAATTTTCTCCTTAAGTAACGGAGCCAGAATTTACAATATAGCATCTGACTGTGTTTGATGGAGGAGAGGGGCCTGCAGTTTGAACATTTTATTTATGTTGATTAGGATTTGTGGGGGTGGGGTGCTATTTCTATGGAAAGGGTCAGGTGAAAATCTGCTGCCTACTCCACTGCTTCTTTAGCTGCCATCCAGATGATGCCTTGTCAGCACTAAATGAGTAGAAATAAATGTAACTTGCATTCATCTCTTTCACTTGAGTCACACATTGAGGGATATAGTTCATTCTTAGTATAAGCATTAATTTTACTCTTGTTAAAGAAAAAATTTTCAAGGAGTTCTTTTTTCTCATAAGGCAGGGACATGGAATGATTGCAGTATTCCTGGCAAAATGTTTGGTTTTGTTTGTGTTGTATTGAAACAGAGTTTTGCTCTTGTCACCTAGGCTGGAGTGCAGTGGTATGATCTTGGCTCACTGCAACCTCTGCCTCTCAGGTTCAAGTGATTCTCATGCCTCAGCCTCCAGAGTAATTGGGATTACAGGCACCCACAAACACACCCAGCTGATTTTTTGTATTTTTAGTAGAGACTGGGTTTTACCATATTGGCCCCACTGGTCTCGAACTCGTGACCTCAGGTGATCCACTCGCTTTGGCCTCCCAAAGTGCTAACATTACAGGCCTGAGCCACCACACCCGGCCCAGCACAATGTTTTAAAAATAAAAACTTTTGGGCCGGGTGTGGTGGTTCACACCTGTAATCCCAGCACTTTGGGAGGCCGAGGCAGGTAGAGCACAAGGTCGGGAGTTTGAGACCAGCCTGGTCAAGATGGTGAAACCCTGTCTCTACTAAAAATACAATACTTAGCTGGGTGTAGTGGCAGGCTATTATCACAGCTACTCAAGAGGCTGAGGCAGGAGAATCGCTTGAACCCGGGAGGTGGAAGTTGCAGTGAGCCGGGATTACTCTGCTGCATTCTAGCCTGGGCGACAGAGTAAGCCTTCATGTCAAAAAAAAAAAAACAAAAAAAAACAACTTTTGGCCAGGCTCACACCTGTAATCCCAACACTTTTTGAGGCCGAGGTCTAGAGATCGAGACCATACTTGCAAACATGGTGAAACCCTGTCTCTACTAAAAATACAAAAAGTAACTGGATGTGGTGGCACGCGCCTGTAGCCTCAGCTACTTGAGAGGCTGAGGCAGGAGAATCACTTGAACCCAGGAGGCAGAGGTTTCAGTGAGCCAGGATCATGCCACTACACTCTGGCCTGGCAACAGGGTGAGACTCTGTCTCAAAATTAAATAAATAAATACTTTAAAAGAAAGGATGCTGTTTTACTGAGGCAGAAAGGCACTATCTAAATTTCATTGTTTCATTTCTATCTAGAAGCACTTGGAACAATTTTGTTAACCATGAATGATTTTTTGTTTGTTTTTGTTTGTTTGTTTTCAATCTGTTACCCAGGCTGAAGTGCTCACTGCAACCTCTGTCTCCCAGCTTCACGCAATTCCCCTGCCTCGGCCTCCCAAGTAGGTGGTATTGCAGGCATGCACCGCCACACCCAGCTAATTTTTATGTATTTAGTAGAGACGAGATTTCACCATATTGGCCAGACTGATCTTGAACGCCTGACTTCAAGTGATCCATCTGCCTCAGGCTCCCAGACTGCTAGGATTACAGGTGTAAGCCACCACGCCCAGTCTAAGAATGATATTTTAAAATGGTGCTACTCAGGCTGAGCAACATAGTGAGACCCTGTCTCTACAAAAAATTACCAGCCATAGGGCAGCATAGGGAGACTTCATCTCTTATTTAAAAAAAAAAAAAAAAAAAGACTAAGCATGATGACGTGACTGTGGTCCTAGCTACACAGGAGGCTAAAAGGCAAGAGGATTACTTGAGCCCAGGAGGTTGAGGCTGTGAGCCATGATCATGCCACTGCACTCCAGCCTGGGTGACAGAGTGAGACCCTGTCTCAAAAAAAGAAAAGAACAATTAAAAAGCCCGACATGGTGGTGCCTCACACCTGTAATTCCAGCTACTTGGGAGGCTGAGGTAGGAGGATTGCTTGACCATGGGAGGTCAGGGATGCAGTAAGCCATGATCATGTCACCGTGAGACTACATCTCAAAAGCAGTGCTACTAAGCATAGCTAAACTAAGAGTTTCTCTTACTAGCTAGACATTTCTTTTTTTTTTTTTTGAGACTGAGTTTCGCTCTTGTTGCCCAGGCTGGAGTGCAATGGTGCGATCTCGGCTCACCGCAACCTCTGCCTCCTGGGTTCAGGCAATCAGGCAATTCTCCTGCCTCAGCCTCCTGAGTAGCTGGGATTACAGGCACGCGCCACCATGCCCAGCTGATTTTTTGTATTTTTAGTAGAGACGGGGTTTCACCATGTTGACCAGGATGGTCTCGATCTCTCGACCTCGTGATCCACCTGCCTCGGCCTCCCAAAGTGCTGGGATTACAGGCGTGAGCCACCACGCCCGGCCTGCTAGACATTTCTTGACCCTCTCACTCACAGAATAAAGACATGTTACTAGAATCTAGTGCCGCAGATCGTGAAAAATACAGAAAGATATATTTCATGTGTAAATTTGGTCACATATCCATTTATTGCATGATGAATCAACCAATCAATACCTGGCAGTATTTATATTAAGGTAAAATAATTTCAACTATAGGTTCTGCCTCAGAGCAGTAAATGAATGTTTTCTCACTTGTAGGGTAAACTAGTATACTTTACAGAAATAGATCTAAACTTATTAAAACTTTTTAAAACCTGAGTTCATGGAATACCCAAACCTGGTGATTAACCAAACACTAAAGCCAAAGGTCTTCCATCTCTAAACTTAAATTTCTGTTTTTTTGTTTTGTTTTGTTTTTTTTGTTTTGTTTTTGTTTTTGTTTTTTTTTTGAGACAGAGTCTCACCCTGTTACCCAGGCTGGAATGCAGTGATGCAGTCTCAGCTCACTGCAACTTCTGCCTCCCAGGTTCAAGTGATTCTCCTGCCTCAGTCTCCTGAGTAGCTGGGATTACAGGTACACGCCACCATGCCCAGCTAATTTTTGTATTTTTAGTAGAGACGGGGTTTCACCATGTTAGTCAGGCTAATCTCGAACTCCTGACCTCGTGATCCGCCTGCCTCAGCCTCCTAAAATGCTGAGATTACAGGTGTGAGCCACCACACCCGGCCACTTAAATTATTTTCATCTCAGAAATGTTTATATACTGTAGTTCATGTCTGTTACCCCAAGAAGAGGTTGTCTCCTCCTTTGCCTCATAACTTTTAACCTTTGAAAGATTCGGTTTTTTTTGTTTGTTTTTATTTTTTGTGGGTTTTTTGTTTTTTTTTTGACACAGAGTCTCGCTCTGTTGCCCAGGCTGGAGTACAGTGGTGTGGTCTTAGCTCACTGCAGCCTCCACCTCCTGGGTTCAAAGGATTCTTGTGCCTCAGTCTCTTGAGTAGCTGGGATTACAGGCACACGTCACCATGCCAGGCTAATTTTTATATTTTTAGTAGAGACAGGGTTTCACCATGTTGGCCAGGCTGGTCTCAAATTCCTGGCCTCAAATGATCTGCCCACCTCAGCCTCCCAAAGTGCTGGGATTACAGGCGTGAGCCACCATGTCTGGCCAAGATTAGTTAACTTGACTGACTTAAGTTTTTGCTTGTGTTAAAGAGTAAACCATGGGCCGGGCGCAGTGGCTCAAGCCTGTAATCCCAGCACTTTGGGAGGCCGAGGCGGGTGGATCACGAGGTCAAGAGATCGAGACCATCCTGGTCAACACGGTGAAACCCCGTCTCTACTAAAAATACAAAAATTAGCTGGGCGCGGTGGCACATGCCTGTAATCCCGGCTGCTTGGGAGGCTGAGGGAGGAAAATCACTTGAACCTGGGAGGTGGTGGTTGCAGTGAGCTGAGATGGTGCCATTGCACTCTGGCCTGGGCGACAGAATGAGACTCCGTCTCAAAAAAATAAAAATTCGCTGGACGTGGTGGTGCACACATGTGGTCCCAGCTACTCAGGAGGCTGAGATGGGAGGATTGCTTGAGCTCAGGAGTTCGAGACCAGCCTGGGCAACATGGCAAGACCCCCATCTCAAAAATGCAAAAAAATAAAAATTCGCTGGACGTGGTGGTGCACACATGTGGTCCCAGCTACTCAGGAGGCTGAGATGGGAGGATTGCTTGAGCATAGCCTCCTATCTCTGTCACCTACTCATATCTCCTTCTCATATCTCCTCACCCTGTCACCCAGGCTGGAGTGCAGTGGTGCACTCCAGCCTGGGTGACAGGGTAAGACCCCATCTCAGAAAAGAAAAGAAATGTAATTTTCTGTCATGAATATGCATAGTAATCAAAGCTGATTTTAATATCTACTCAAGTCACTAATCTTATTAGTGAAACAACAGATATTGTTTGAAGTCCTGTGATAAATGGGGTTCTTTATGTCCTAATATTTTAAATGAGGTTTTTTCTTGTAAAACTGCATAAAATTAGGTTTGGCCCAATAGCCAAGTGCAAAAAGTACCTGCAGCCTTATGATCTGACCTTTTTGGTTTTCCTCTCCTTTTTTCCTAATATTCTTTATTTTCATGTATGTAAGCATAACACATACCAAATGCCTTATGTTATTACTTACATAAACCCATTTTTTTTTCTTCTCAGTCTAAAGAACTCCAAATAAAAAAGCAGTTTCAGGATACCTGCAAAATCCAAACCAGACAGTACAAAGCATTAAGAAATCACCTGCTAGAGACTACACCAAAGAGTGAGCACAAAGCTGTTCTGAAACGGCTCAAGGAGGAGCAGACCCGGAAATTAGCTATCTTGGCTGAGCAATATGATCACAGCATTAACGAAATGCTCTCCACACAAGCTGTGAGTTTGCTTTTTTTGGACAAAGCAGATTTAGTGCCCCTTTTCTTCCACCTGAATGAAATCACAGCAATTAAAGTACTAGTTGGAAATGATAGCTCTCCTGCAGCTCGGGAAATATGGTGGTGGTTCATTTTCTTCCTGTTCTCAACATTGCTTGAAAATGTCATGATGCATGTAGAATTCTCATTGATACATTTAGACATGAGGTTCTAAATAGGCTCCCTGCCAGCACAAATCCTAACACCTTATTAAGACTGGAACAGCAGCTTTGGGAAGCAGTGGGTAAAAGATATTATTATAATGGGAATAAAAATGGTTGTGTTTGAGTACAAATACTTTTTTTTTTTTTTT